AAGGAACCAACATCATTGGTACCAAGTGGATCTACAAGAACAAATCTGATGAAAAAGGAGTAATAACTAAAAATAAGGCTAGACTGGTGGCACAAGGTTATACTCAAGTTGAAGGGATTGATTTTGATGAAACTTTTGCACATGTTGCAAGACTTGAGTCAGTAAGGCTACTGTTAGGAGTTGCTTGTATTCTGAAGTTCAAATTATTCCATATGGATGTGAAAAGTGCTTTTCTAAATGGTTACTTGAATGAGGAAGTATATGTGGAACAACCTAAAGGATTTGATGATCCTAACCTGCCAAATCATGTATACAAATTAAGGAAATCCATTTATGGATTGAAGCAAGCTCCTAGAGCTTGGTATGAGAGACTGACTGAGTTTCTCACTATTAATGGATACCGAAAATGAGGGATAGACAAGACCCTTTTTGTGAAGGATGAAGATGGAAAAATCATGATTGCTCAAATCTATGTGGATGACATAGTTTTTGGTGGGATGTCAGATAGGAGGGTTAAAAATTTTGTCAATCAAATGCAATCTGAGTTTGAAATGAACCTTGTTGGAGAATTAACATACTTTCTTGAGCTGTAAGTCAAGCAAATGGAAGATTCCATTTTTCTCTCCCAAAGCAAATATACCAAGAACATAGTCAAAAAAATTTGGCATGGATAATGCTCGTCACAAAAGAACACCTGCACCCACAGATTTGAAGTTATCTAAAGATGAAGGTGGTACTGGTGTTGATCAAAACCTGTATATAAGCATGATTGGAAGCTTGTTATATCTAACAGCTAGTAGACCTGATATTGCCTTTGCAGTTGGTGTGTGTGTGCAAGATATCAAGCATATCCTAAAGTGAGTCACATAAATCAAGTCAAGAGGATTCTCAAATATGTGAATGGAACTTTTGATTATGGTATGTTGTATTCTCATGGGTGTGACCTTATTCTGTCTGGGTATTATGGTGCTGATTGGGCTGGGAGTGCTGATGACAGAAAAAGCACATCTGGTGGATGTTTCTTCTTAGGGAATAACCTCATATCACGGTTCAGCAAGAAGCAAAATTGTGTCTCTTTATCCACTGATGAAGCTGAAGACATAGCAGCTGGTAGCAGCTGTTCCCAACTGGTCTGGATGAAGCAAATGTTAATTGAATACAATGTCACTCAGGATGTCATGACATTATACTGTGACAATCTTAGTGCCATCAATATTTCCAAGAACCCAATTCAGCATAGCAAAACCAAGCATATTGATATCAGACATCACTTCATAAGAGAGCTTGTGGAAGACAAAGTGATTACCCTGGAGCATGTGGCCACTGAACCACAACTTGCTGACATTTTTACAAAAGCTCTAGATGCTACTCAATTTGAGAATTTAATGAGCAAGTTGGGAATTTGCATTTATGAGGACTTATAGTAATTACTGTCAAGAGGGATTTTTGAGTGTAAAAGAAGTTTTATTGGACAGAACACGTTCCAACCTCCGACTTTAATGCATCTCACGCCATTGACCACTAAAACTCTTTATCCCACACAAACTTTTTATCTCATTGCACCAACAATTCCCCCATTCCTCCCTACTCTTCAGAATACCTCTCATTCCTTCAATTTTTCCTCTTTCAACAAAATGGCTTCCAAACGAGATGCTTCCCAAACTAATGCCCATACCAACCCCTTCGAAGATGCTTCTGATGCTACATCTTCTCAAGCTGACAAATCCAAACACCACTCCACAGGTAAATCGTCTGATCCCTCTACTTACAACATTACTAGAATGTTGAACAAGGAAGGCTCTGCATATATTGACAGATCCATCAGGGAACTTGTCACTAAGATTCTCTAGAAAGGTCGTATTGTGCATGGTATTTCCATCCCTCTTTCTCGCATTGATCCATCCCTCTGTTCTGATAATGTTAACGGACAAAATAGTGAGGTTGTGTCAGGGGAAGAATCTGAAACTGATGAGGAGAAGGTTGGCTCAAGTTCTTCTGAGGATGAAGATTAAGGCGTCTGCTTTGGTGGTTTACTGTTTGGATTGGGCTGATGGTTTGTTGTTGGTTTAGCTAGTTGTGTTTGTCTGTCTTGGTTGAGCTGTTGTTGTTTTCTCTTGGGTTGTAATATTGGGGTTTCCATACCCTTAACATATTTGTTTTTTACTGTTCTGATCAATACTATTTCATTAGTTTTTGATCTTAAATTTCTGGCTAAAAGGGGGAGAAGATTGGCTGTATACTACATCTTAGTGTATGTCCCTAACAGGTGAAAGTGAGAAGATGATATGTTGTGTTGCTGCTCTGTTTGTATACCTTGTTCTAGGTTGTTTTGCTGGTGTGTTGAGCAGGTGTGAAGATAGTAGTTGTTGCTAATAATCTTTTTGTTGTTAACAGGATGCTGACCCTGTTAGTTGTGTGCTTGGTTTATTTTTTAAACTTTGAGTAGCCTAGGTGGGGTGTGATGATGTGCTCTACAGGTTGGGCTGTTTTGAATCTGTTGAGAGGGAGTTTGTGTTTGCTCTCCTTGTTTTGGAGTTTGTTCTGATATGGTAGTACAGGAGGTTTTGTGTGATGGTAGTGTATTAGTTATTCTGCATGATTGGCTATGTGTTATACTCTTTTCTGCTGCATGTGTTCTCTGATATGGTGACAAGTTGTTTTAGCCAAAAATTTGTCAAAGGGGGAGTTTGTAGATGTTCTTGATTGGCTGCATTTTGTGGTAAAACATTGTTATGTGTGTAGATGTCTTGACTGATGTCATGACATACTTGTGTAGTGTTCTGCAGGATATGTTTGGTTAGCTAATACATAGTTTATTGGATGTCACACTGAATGTTGTGACATCAGGTATCTTCCAGCATGGGCGCTGGTTTGTTTTCTGTTAGGTTTCCTGCTTTATCTCAGGCTATAGTTTAGGAAACGTCTGTGGCCTATTTTTTAACACCTTGAATTGTGGAGATTGGATTAACTTGGTTAAACCTAATTTATGATATCTAGGTCCAAGGCCCATGCGCAACATATAAAGAAGAGTGACAATCCTTACTAAAGACTCGGAGATTTTGGTGTGAAGAGTTTTGTTTGGGTGTTTGTATCTTCACGTGTATTTTTGTCTTAGGTTTTCTTGTGAGCCAAGCAATTATCACCTTGATGATTGCATTGGACTAGTGTGGTTTTTGAGTGGTGTTTTGGTTGTGTCACTCTAAGCTTTTAAGCAAGAGTGCTATGTATCTTGATTGAAGCTTTTAAGCAAGATCAAGATTTGTTTGAAGTGTGTCTTCCTTTTTGAATCTGTTTGTATTTGATTGATATCACTGCTGTGATTGAGGGGGAGTGAGTAAGAACTCAGGTCTAGAGTTAGATTGAAATTGTATTGGGTAGGTCTTAAGTGAGGAGTTGTAAAGTGGTTATTTAGCTCTGAATTAACACTGCTTATAGTGGATTTCCTCCCTGGCTTGGTAGCCCCCAGAGTAGGTGTGATTTGCACCGAACTGGATAAACAATTTCCTGTGTTCTTTATTGCTTTCATTACTTGTTTACTGCTAAGCTTAATAATCTGTTCAGAAGCGGATGTCATAACATCCGACATAACATCAACTGTCTGTTATTAGAATTTCACAAGTGTTTGAGTTGAGGCTCATTATGAAAAGACGAATTGGTTAAGCGGGAAGCTATCTCATGCTTGTTGGCTTTGCTTCAGCCTGGAATAATCTTGTTGTCATTATTCTTCACTTACATATTGTTATTGATGTGTGGTATAGTATTTCTGATTGGATGGCCTAGGTAGGCTATCTCCTTGGATTAATATTTCTGAGCATTTCTTGTGTTTTGAATTTTGATCATGCCTTGAAGCGGAATTTCAGAATTATCATTTGGTTATATGTTGTTCTAGCAATACTCTTTTTAATAGTGGGAAGAAAGGGGTTCCGAAAATTATTTTGGTTGCTAAATTGTTCTTTTGGGATTGGTTTGGAGCTAGGTATAAGCGAATTGATTGGATGTTGTTTTAAGACTTTCTTTTGTCTCACTTGGGTTGAGTACTTGTTCTCACTTTTAATACAATTTTTGCTTGTTAAATAAAACCGATGAAAATTTTTGGATACTTATTGAGCTTGTGTAGGTTAGGAATTGAAGGACGAAAATCAAGTTAAACACAAGACAATCGTCAATTTTACCAACCCTCCAGGATAATACCATCACTCCCAGCAATAGCAAAACCTTACCATCACCTCAGTTACATTTGGCAATACAGTTCTGCACAAAGGATGACTTGTTTGTTGCCAATAAGCAATATCATATCCCACATTTTCTACACTACAAGGTAGTTAAAACTTATGGAAGCATCTGGATGTGTAGAGGTGTAGAGCATCCCTAATCAAGAAAAAGCAAGTTGTGAGAGATCGCATGCCTAGATGAAATCATACATGTATAGCAGTAAAGAACCTTCATGGAGGAAGGAAACTCTTTCACAAGCAAATTTTAGGTTACTTCCCTGGCATTCACCTCTTGGTCTGCACAGCAACCTTGAAATTTCATGTAATTTGAATCAAAACAGTAAATGAACAAGTCATCTTTTCCTAACACATCTATATAGAATAAGATGGAGTAATCATATGTGGATATCCGACTCTTCGTGTAAACCGGATATCCTTCTTTCCCAAGTGTGGAGACTAATCCCTCAAATCTTGTAAGGCCCAAATGGACGGCAAACTCTCCCTAAGAATTTTGACTCGGTTGCATGTGCATTTAACCTGAGTCTTCTAAAATAAACAACTCAATGATAAATAATACCCACCACCAACTTTATAGGAGCCAAATTTAAAAAGTATAACATCCACCCTAGCTATTTATTTATACCAATATTGTGCAGCAAAGCCGGACGGTTAAATGTCAAAGGAAAAGGAAAGAAAATGCAAGTTATAAGAATGAACATATGATATATCATTACAGTATCAAAAATATATATGTTCAGGATGCTACAAGGGAATCGGAAAATTTGGGTCTCATTGGACGGCAAAAATATGGGTAGTAAGAGACATATTCTGTATACCTTTAACTGCATCACAAACCAATGAACAAATTAACCAACCAGTTTACAATCTTATGGAACCAAGCAAATGAAAATATTGCAGACATACACTACACCCGATATATCTGTGGGATGCTGTAAGTTTGACGCAATGACTGACAGACATTCAAGCATATTGTTCCAAGAGATAAGCAAAATGAAGTGTATTTCATATCAACCTCTTATCAGAACCCGAACCTTTAAGATTAAGGTTGAACCATTTCTTTTTGCCTGATTTATCCTTGCCATCTGACCCATCTTCCCCGGGGCTCTCACCTTTGGAATCTTCACCAGAAATTTTGCTAGAACTTCCATTGCTTAAATTACTACCACTTCCACTAATATTGGTTGGCTTAACAATGGTGAAGGTAGAATGGATACCATCCCTTTGTTTCAGAAGCTCATCTACCTGTGTAGCCAGTAAAATAAGAGACAAGTTACACAATATTATTTGTACTATAATATAATGTTTCATTTATTTTCTATGTTTATTTTCACTTGATATAGTTTATATAACAATTGATAAAACAAATGATTTGTTTCATTTTGCTTTGTACCTAATTAGTTTTGCAAAACAAATAATTGTTTCAATTGGTGTTCAGTTTTAATTGTGAAACGCTGTCTCATTTTCACTTTGTTTCCTATTTTCAAAGCTTTTCATAAAAGAATTAAAAAATACAAAAAGGTAACAACTTCTCATGATTTTCATCGTACTCTCTAGAAAATGTAAAAAATTAAAAAACGAGTGAAAAAAAAATGTCATTTTTATAATTAACATATAAAACCCAGTTAGAATTTGCAGAAATGGTTAAAACGATTTGAGACATCATGAAAACAGGAAAAAAAAAATTCTTTGACATTTTGTACATCATATTAACATAATGATGTACAATAAAAGTCAAAACAAGGATAAGCTTCGTATGGCACAACAGCTGAGTTGTTTCCTTTTCCTCTATTAAATTTTTTTTTTTTTGAGATCTTGGTGTCCGGCCTTGCGACCGATTAATCCAAGAGGACCAATCTCACTGTCCACTAGCGACGGTCCCGTTTAAAGCCAGAGCAAAGCTCTGTATGGAGTGGCCCAACACAAGGATTGTTGGCAGCTAGTAGGATTCGAACCTGAGATCTTAAGAGGAGCACACTCTCAAGACTCAAGTCTCCACCACTAGGCCAACCCTTGGGTGTTAACTTCTATTAAATTATAATACATGATTGCAATTTGCAACAGATTATCAACCAGCCAATTAAGCCAGGTGAGAAAAATCTGCCAAGTAAGCCAGGTGAGAAAAATCTGCAACAAATCTTGCCACAACTTGGAGCAGATGGGAATTTTTTTTCAACTGATTATCAGCTAGGCGTGGGTAAACTTAGTATAAAAAGAATGCTAATGTGTACATTTCTAGATATGCATTTGTAGTATAACTGTAGCACATGTTGAAGAAACGTACAGACTGTTTTTCTTTTGCGTATCTGTCTGTCACTTCCTGATAACGTGCCAATGCCTGAAAAGTATTCAGAAAAACATCACTTCAAGGACCACAAAACAAACTTCAAATCATGAATAACTGTCGAAAAATAATAACCTTTCTATACTCTGATTCGAATTGGCGTAGCTCATTCCTCTTTCTTAAAATTTGAGCCTCAATATCCTTAAGTTTTTCGGTGGTATCTTCAAGTGATTCTGCACATACTGCTTCAATTGTATAGCTAGCAGTCTTAAAGAAGTTATCTCCTAAAAAAGATCCACTTGAATTTAGTTTACACGAAAAAACAGCACCAGCAAGCCAAAGAAAAATGAAACAAAATAAATTATTCAGACCATAAACAGCAAATATATGTGTGCCAGGCTTTAATTCCGAGACTTCACAAGGTTGAAGACCTTCCAACCTTTTAAAGAAAGCCCCTTCAGGATCCTTGGCCATTGCTAACTGCGCCACAGCATTAAAAGTAAGAAATGCAGTCCTGCAGATGTCACAGTTGAATTCGAATACACACAATCTAGTTATATACCGCATTCACAGTTGAATCCATTCTGTACACTTGAAAATGTAAGAAATACATTCCTGCAGATGTCACCTTCCCAGTCTTTTCACTATCTTCCTGTATAAACAGATGCATAGAATACTAGCTCAGTAAATGCCCAATTGTAATTGCATAACTACACCTTTGATAAACTAGTTATGAGCTGTGCAAGTTTATGAATCAATTAGGAATAGCTTAGCTTATGAAGAATTAAGTATGACTTAACACAATCCATCTGGTTGAAAGCACACAACAAAGTTCAACAAATGTTTGTGTTATGTCTTTCTCAGATTTGAGAGCCTAACAGAAAACTAATTCACATAATCCAGATGCAAGACTTGTTTCACAAGTTTTGAAAGTTTGAAGAACTTAATTATAACTTTTATTCAGATGAGAAAAACATGAAACATAAGACCAAAAACTTAGAAGCAACCACTGTAGCTGAAATTTGTGCTGCCATGCTTCCACATTTTTTGAAACAAAAATACAACCTCGTGCAAGGATTGTTATTTAATGCCCAGTGATTATAGACGGAGGGAGTACTATGCTGCAAGACACAAGTACAGGGGAAAAGGAGGCTGGGGTGGAGGGAGGGAAGAACTTGAGTTATAAGCTAATGGACAACACTTTGATGATCTAACATTCTGGAGACAACCATGCTTGAAGAAAAACCAGTAATACCAAATTAATAGTCAATTCATTTTTCCGGGAATAAAACCATGGGATATCCCCCAATAATTTGGTCAATATGAACCACCTAACCCTCATTCGACTGCAGAAGCACAGGAATTATGCATTTTTCCTATTATAGCTTCTGTGAGATCTGAACCCACATTCTCGCCGTGATGGGTTTGAGACTGCTTACAACCTCCACCCACTCATGGTGGTATAGCAATTTCAATTTAATACTGATATTTTGTTAAATTATCAAGTCAAAGGAAGTAAGAGTTGAACTGAAGCCCAAGATAAATATTACCTGCAATGCCAAACCATAGCCACCATTTGCATCTTGTTCGAAATAGAGCAACTGAAAAATCGGCGCTCAATATTACAATTCAATGCTACATTAACTGGAAGAATCTTTGTAAAAAGGCATTAACATTTATCAGTGATACCTTGAATTTGCTTTGTGCAGTTGAAGTAACTCTAACTACAATTCCTGATTCAGCTTGCTGCTCACTTATTGTCACGCCAAAAAAATGAGCACATTGCTTATCTACCTGCATTGAATTGCCACAAAGTGGAATAAGAACAAACAGATACCAGGAAGATTACTGTATTGCTTCACTCATCATGAAGACGGAAACAACCTTTCCACTAACTGATGTTCCAATTGGAAGGGGTCTGACTGTAACTGTGCCATTCAAAGCCTCTTCAAGAACATTAGCTGAAATGGTAGTCTTGATAGGGACACCCAGCTTGCTATTACCAAATAAAGTAAGAAACAATCTAGAGCTAGATAATTTTGAAAATAAACAATCATATAATAAAATCCACACCTGAATAAAGCTGCAAACATTGTGTTCACAGTCCCAAGATTAGATAAATCAATTTCCATGTCCATGCTATCAGCATCAAGGGCCTGATATGCATAGGAAAAATAGAAGTAAGTTACACAATAAGAAAAGAGTTGTATCGGGAAGAATATGAACTGAAACAGAAAAAAAAAAGCTTCCGAGGACTATGTAGCAACAATATATTAAAACAACACATTTACCTGAATGCAAAGAGCAGAGTACTGATGAAACTAAAATTTTCAAGAACATACATGCCATAATAGTAAAGATAAATGCAAGAATTAATCTTAAAATATAGTGATCTGCCAAAAGATAGACAGGAATAACAAAAACAGCACATGTAAATGGTATATACCGAAACAAATTGCCCAAATTTCACAGCTAACAAGCTTAAACTCGAATCTTGGCAATATCAATATAAAATTAAACAAATAGGAAGACAATATGAATGCATTAGCTCCTCTCTCCTAATATGTAAATGTTGGAAGCATAAGAAAAGCTTGCAGGTTCAATTTTGACCATCATAGAAGTAGGACATCAAACTGGTAGACCCCCATTAAAGGAGGGGAAAACAAATCTAGTAATCAAGTAATGTATTTCATATCTGTTTGCCCAGCTAGATAACTAAGTAGAATTCTCCTATGCCACCAGCCATAAACAGAAAGAGCATATACATATACATATATATATATATATATATATATATATATATATATATATATATATATATATATATATATATATATATATATATATATATATATATATATATATATATATATATATATATATATATATATATATATATATATATATATATATATATATGTATGTATAGAAGATCGTTGGATTCACATGGGAAGGATAGACCTTTTCAAACAAACAAACAAACAAACAAAAAACAAGTGAAGGATAGGAAGAAAGGGACCTCAAATCCTGCACTGTCGTACTGCCTTCTCTTCTCTGGGTCAGATAAGATATTATAAGAATACGCAACCTCTTTGAATAGTTCTGAAGCTTCAGGATTGCTGGCATTCTTGTCAGGGTGGTACCTGTCAATTACATATAGATATCAGTGTTATCAATCCTAGATAGCAAAGTATAGTGGCTGACCCCAAAAACACCACAGTGAGATAGCAAATAGGAGATGACCACTATTTTGAAATCCTTGAACAGTTTATAAGTTATACTAAATACATATAAGCTTCACAACTAACCATGACTGACTAATGAGAGGGTGAAATTTTACAGTAGGAGTGAGAAAGTGAGAGTGATGAAGCACAAACACTTGTCGGGTATTTTTGAATTCCAAAATTCCTGAAATACTCCAAGCAAAATGCCCTAACCATTTAATTTTAAGGACTTTTCAGAATGTTATGAACTCATTATAAGGTGGACACTATAGCAGCTGCGATATTCGCTATTTTGGCCACTATAGCAGCTGCGATAACCGCTATTTTGGCCACTACAGCAGCTACACTAAACTGATCCACTATAGCACCCAGCTTACAACATTGATAACTATATACTGTGCGTGTGTTCAGTTCTGCGGTGAAAAAAATTGATTATGAGTGAATTGATTCTGCCTAAAAGTTTGTTGAATGTTCAGTATACCTTGAAAGGCTCTACAAAACATTAACTCCTCCACTTTGCATACGCAAGTAATAAATCACTAGAAAACAAAAATACCTAAAAGCAGCTACAAAAACAAAACCTTTTATAAACTACACAAATGAAATAAAAGGGACGAATTTAGGGGGAAAAACGAACTTTAAAGCGAGCTTTCTGTAAGCGGTTTTAATTTCCTGGTCGGATGAATCCCTTGAAACGGACAAAACTTCGTAAGGATCACGTCGAACAGCTGGTGTAGAGGTTCCTTCCATCTTAGAACCCATTCCCGTTCACCAGCCTTTATTTTGAAGCAGCTGAAAAGGGACCAAATTAGGGTTACGGAAATCAGTATGAAAATGACATGGTATAGTTTGACCTAAGTGGCAAAACAATGGAATTGAAAAAGGGGGAAAGGAATCGGAGACGGTGAAGGGCACGTGATTCAAAGCGACATTGGATCGGTTATGTGGGAACGAGAAAAAGAGGAGAAATTAGGGATCTGAAAGAGGTGAATTTGGAACGAGAAATAGCGTTTTGAAATGAAGAGAGAAGAGAAGAAACAGAGTCGGGTTGCTTCTGTATTGTACGACTCTGAAACGGGGTCTATGGCGTCCTTTCTTTTAATTTTTTTATTTTATTTATTTGTACATTGAAAATGCTGAATCGCCATTCTATGACTGGTTGGTTTAACTATTTTGCTTCGAGTATTGGATTCGACCCCCTTTTCTTTTTGTTTGTATTAGTAATAAAAATATGTTTTTTTATAAAATAATAATAGAAAAATGTGGGTAAAAAAATAATTTAATCAAATATATTTTTTTATTTTTTATTTAATTATTTTTTAAATTTGATCGAAAATTTATAACAATTGAAAAATCATATCAACTTTAATATTTAAATTATACTAATAGAATACCCATCAATCAGTTTTGCAACGCGCTTTCTTTATTAGATGATAAAATTAATTTTTTTTTAATTATATTTATTGATCTATAAAACATTGTTATGTATGAGTTTTTTGACTTTTTATAACAAGTTGTCTCTTATGCTAGAAAAGTAAAAAAAAAATGTCAAAGACAAATATTATAAGAGCATTTTGATAGTTGAAATGCGGGTTTTTATTTTAAATTTAAATAGTTTTGTTCTTTTTCACTTTTTTATCGAAAAACATAAGAATTTTTATCTTTTAATTTATATTTTATCTACAAAATTTCACATAAAAAATATATATAATGATTTGTCACGTTTCGCAAGTGATGTTTCATTTAAAAAATAAATACAAAATCAATTTTAAGAAAATAAATGTGAGAGGAGACCAAAAATATGTAAGTGCTCATTTTCCTAAACTTTCAATAGAAAAAAGAGAAAATTACATTCATTTCCCCAAGTTTATTAAAATGACACTATAACCTTTTATAGTTTTAAAATATGTATTAATTTGTCTTGAGCTTATATATACCAACAAATTGTTTTAGTGACAAAGAAAACTGCCTACGGTTTTTTACCATTACTAAAAACTGAAAGAGGTGTCGATGTCATTTTAATAGACCTCAACTAATATTGATGTATGTTTTAAAACCAAAGAGGGTGTCAGTGTCTTTTTAATAGACCTCAGGGGAGGAGAGTGTAATTTTTCCATCAAAATTGAAGGACAGTTAATTAGGTTGGAACACTTTTAAAATAATTGTTTATTTATAAACTTGTTTAGATTAATATTGTTGTCAGCGATTGAATCATATATCAGCAGTTTACCCAGACCCATGTTCAATCCAAGTTACTCTTACAATTGTTATACAAAAGAACTCGATAAACCATGAAACCAGTAGAAAATGGGAAAAAGTTTATGAAATCTACAATTTGGCCGATTTTGTAGGCTAGACCATGATTTTTTTATGGGAAGAAAATTTCATTAAACGGCAGACGAAAGATGAACAACAGCAGAGGGATCCACAATAGGATAACCTCTAATCCAAGTCTTATAACCATAGATTTTACCAAGTCTAACCAAATTGTGGGCATCAGCATCAAAACATCTAGGAATAAACATGATAGAAAAAACTTTAAAAGACTTAAGCAACTCTCTATAGTCAGCAGCAATTGGTTTGAGGGAGACATGGACAATGGACAAATTGATATAGACCACCAGAACTCGAGCGTTCGATTGGAACACTGCACTCTCTAACTTTAGAGTTTGCGCAATCTCAATACTCCATCTTAAAGCAAGCATCTCCGCCATGACAGGTTCCACCACGATATTATCCTTCCTACTAGCTGCCAAAATAATGTTCTTCTGTTGATCCTTTATAATGAAACCAAAGGACACAAAGCTCACTTCAGATATTTCAGCATCCATCTGTACTAAATGGACTTCTTTTAAGTTTGATTCCAAAAGAGAATAGGAGGTAATGTTTTTCTTTTTACCATAATCCAGATTCAACAAACCTTTTGTTGAATTCCACCACTACCTCTAAAACATCCTCAGCGACTTTGACAGGGTCCACACTCTTTTGCTGGTAAAGTTGTACATTGTGGGCTGACCAAATATTATGGAGCAAGGAACACAACACTTGGATGCTTAACCCATCCCCGCAGTTGAGAACCTTCAGCAACCAATCATTGAGACCCCCACCATTAGGGATACGGTAGCTAAAGATAGATGAGAGGAAATATCATTTTACAAAGTCACAATGCAGGAACAAGTGATGGGTCGTCTCAACAGCGAAATGGCAAAGGGAACAAGTGGTGTCAAGCTTATACCTTTTTTATATTACATTTTATGGGGAGGATGTTCATGGAAAGTCTCCGAAAGAAGTTCCTAATTTTGTTATCGACAGAAGAATACCATATTTTCTTCCAAAGATTATGGTAAGGAATCCGCGAAGGGCCGGGATGCTTCGAGTATCTATCATGGACATACATATGATAAACAGATCAGAATGAGTACTCCCCGCATCTTTCAAAATGCCAAATCTACTTGTCCTCCATGTTTCTTCTAGATAAAGGAATGCTGACAAAATGTTTTTCTTCCTTCACATCAAAGATGTTGAAAATCAAATATGTCTTCCATATTCCCAAATCATTATCAATGAGTTCGCTGACCTTTGCATCATTATCTAGACATCTCACTTGACCCAATACTTTAAAACATGTATTAATGGGCATCCAGCAATCTCTTCCCACAAACATTTTCTCACTGTTGCCAATCCATCATCGAACTTCTTTGTGAATGAGGTCTTTGTGCTTAAGATGTTTCTCCATGTGTAGCTTGGAGTAAAGCCAATTGTACTATCATCAATGGATTTCCTAGGGTAATATTTACTTTTGAATACCTTCCCTATCAGAGTATATTCCCCTATCAAAAGGCGTCAATAGTGTTTTCCAAGCAAGTGGTGTTGAAATCACTAATGCCAACATGATTCAGGATTGCTGGAATTCTTATTAGGGTGGTACATGTCAATTATATATAGAAATGAGCATTAGCAATCCTAGATAGGAAAGTATAGTGGCTGACCCCAAAAACACCACAATGAGATAGCAGATAGTAGATGACCACTATTTTGAAATCCTTGAACAGTTTATATAAGTTATACTAAATATATAAAAGCTTCACAACTAGCCATGACTGACTAATGAGAGGGTGAAAATTTACAGTACGAGTGAGAAAGTGAGAGTGATGAAGCGTACACACTTGTTGAGTATTTTTGAATTGCAAAATTCCTAAAATACTCCAAGCAAAATGCCCTAACCATTTAAATTTAAGGACTTTTCATAATGTTATGAACTCATTATAAGGTGTGGCACTATAGCAGTTGCGATATTCACTATTTTGGCCATTATAGCAGTTGCGATAACTGCTATTTTGGCCACTAGATCAACTTCACTAAACTGATCCATTATAGCACCCAACTTACAACATTGATAACTATATATTAAGTGTGTTTTTAGTTATGCGGTGAAAAAATTTGATTGTGAGTGAATTGATTTAGCCTAAAAGTTTGTTGAAGGTAAAGTGATTTATGTTGGGATAAATTCTTGCAAAAGTGAGATGAAAACTGTAAAAATCATGTTTAAACTCAAAAGCTACAAATCCTAACCTTAAATATAATCAATTTTAAAAAGCAGATTCAATTATACTCAAGAGCAACCAAACATGTCAAAACCAATTACACATTCAAAATCAATTCTAATTCTAAGTGTTCCACCTATGAAACCAAACATACAGTAAAAAGACCTACTTATGTTTATTGCAATTTTTATAAAGAAAACAACCAAATAAACTCCATATTCCATAACAGCAAAACAAAAATCCAGAAAAAAATTATAGGTTATCATATAAGAAAGAATGTTCATTATACCTTGAAAGGCTCTATAAAACATTAACTACTCCATTTTGCATATGCAAGTAACAAATCTTTAGAAAACAAAAATACCTAAAAGCAGCTACCAAAATAAAACCTTTTATAAACTACCCAAATGAAATTAAAGGGACAACTTTATGGGGAAAAACAAACTTTAGAGAGAGCTTTCTATTAGCGGTTTTAATTTCCTGGTCGGATGAATCCCTTGAAACGGACAAAACTTTGTAAGGATCACGTCAAACAGATGGTGTAGAGGTTCCTTCCATCTTAGAACCCATTCCCGTTCACCGTCCCTTTTTTTTAAGCAGCTGAAAAGGGACCAAATTAGGGTTACGGAAATCACTATGACAATGACATGGTATAGTTTGATTTAAGTGGTAAAACAATGGAATTCAAAAAGGGGAAAAGAAATCGAAGACGATGAAAGGCACGTGATTCAAAGCAACATTGGATCGGTTACGTGGGAACGAAAAAAAGAGGAGAAATTAGGGATCTCAAAAAGATGAATTTGGAACGAGAAATAGCGTTTTGTTTTGAAGAGAGAAGAGAAGAAACAGAGTTGGGTTGCTTTTGTATTATACGACTCTGAGACGGGGTCGAAGGCGTCCTATATTTTATTTATTTGTACATTGAAAATGCTGAATCACCATTCTAATTCTTTGACTGGTTAGTTTAACTATTTTTCTTCGAGTATCGGATTCGACCCCCTTTTCTTTTTGTTTGTGTTAGTAATAAAAAATATTTTTTATAAATAATAGTAATTAATAATAATAGGAAAATATGGGTTAAAAAAATCTATTACTGAATCGTCATTCTAATTTTATGACCGGATGAATCCTGCATTGTCCTAATGCTTTCTCTTCTCTGGATTAGATAAGATATTATAAGAATATGCAACATTTTTCAATAGTTCTGAAGCTTCGGGA